GCAGAGAAACTCCGAGCATAGCCCTCTCCATAGCTCGCTGAGTGACCTTGAGCTTTCTCATCCGGCCAGCAGTGAAGGACCACGTCTCAGTACCATAGGTCATCACTGGCAACACGCACTGGTTGTACAGTCTTGTTTTCAAGTTTTGAGGTATACCTGACGAGAAGATGTGCCGTAATTTCCCGAACGCTGCCCAACCGAGTTGAAACCGTCGATTGACCTCTCGGTCGAAGTTGGACTTACCTAGTCGGACTATTTGTCCTTTTTTTTTTTTTTTTTTTTTACATGGGGAAATGCCTACGCATACCCGCCTCGCGGGGGCAAGGACGGGTTATGTCGGACTCGCACCGACTAAAACCCCATGGTGTTCCACACTCGTCGCATTTTGGCAGGGCCACGGGAACGCTTTCGCACACTTCCGCGGCCCCACCTGCGCTGGCCGCCCCATGGCGGCCCCTCCTCGGGAGAGGACCACTCCTCCCCCATCTCCCTCTCAGGTAAGGCCCACCAGAACACATGGCGCGCCCTCCTCCTCGGCCTCTACTTTCACATGCGCAACGGACGCCCCCGTGTCCGATGCGCGAAGGCCATGGGGCCAGGAAAAACTAGCACTCAGTAGCACCAGCCTTCCTGACCCCAGCGGCGGATCTGGTCTATGGCTCCGCCGCCAACCAAGATTCGGCTGCGGAGGGTAGGGAGAGCGGCGCCTCGCAATACCGACACTCCTCTCCCCCCGCAGCCCCACCACCACCGCATCAATCGACGGTGCGGCCCCGCCTGGGTCGCGGAGGATAGGGCGAGTGGCGCATCGCCATACCAACACTCCTCTTCCTCCGCGACTCCACCTCGGCTGCAGCGATAGAGGGAGCGGACACCACTCTCGCAGCATCCCACCGACACACATCCGAAGTGGGCTTCCCAAGCCCACTCGGAGTGGCCACCTCGGGCCGGCCCTACACCACGGGCCAGCCAAGGGGTTCCTCTTTGTTCACCGTGGTTGACCAAGCCACGGCTACTAAGCCCCCCCGCCACGACAAGGCGGGAACCCGTTCGGGGGGGCGGACTATTTGTCCTAGGTTAACATACTCGTCAACAACTTCGAGCTTAGTGCTCCCAACAACTACCGGCATAGGTGTGACATGGACATTAAACATGATCTTTGTTTTGTCCATGTTCATCTTAAGACCTATCCGTTGGGAAACACTATGGAGGTCATTGAGCATATTGCTTAGGTCCTCCAGCGATTCTGCCATAAGGACTATATCGTCGGCAATTCGAAGGTGAGTGATGTACTCGCCATTGATGTTAATACCGTATCCTTTCCAGTCCAGAAGCTTGAAAACGTCTTCTAATGCAGCGGTGAAGAGTTTCGGGGATATAACGTCACCCTGTCTTACACCTCTCTGCAATTGGATAGGTTTCGTACTCTGGTTCTGTACTCGGTTAGCCATCGTAGCTCTACTGTACAAGCACTTCAGCACTTCGATATACTGACAGTCAACTTCGCATTGCTGAAGGGACTGCAGCACCGCCCAAATTTCGACGGAATCAAAGGCTTTCTCATAGTCCACATACGCCAGACATAGTGGCAAATTGTACTCCTCGGACTTCTGTACAATTTGCCGAAGGGTATGTATGTGGTCTATGGTCCTAAAGCCTTTTTCAGAAACCGGCTTGTTCGGGAGGCTGGAAGTCGTCAAGTCTGCGCGCGAGACGATTCGTAATGACTCTCGAAAACAGCACGTAGATGCGGCTCAGAAGGGAAATCGGTGTGTAGTTCTTTAAGAGAGCGTTGTCACCTTTCTTGAAGAATAAGACTACCGCACTTCTGCTACACGCCTCCGGTGTAGTGCCACCATGGAGGACGGAATTAAAGAGCTTCTGAAGGACTTCAAGTACCGATTTTCCACCCGCTTTCAGATGCTCCGTTGTAATTCCATCCTCGCCTGGGGCCTTGCCGTTTTTAAGGTGCTGGAGAGCTATTCTAATCTCGCTCAGACTGACGTCCGGGATATCATAGGAATAGTGTCGGATAAGACGTTACTCACACTTACGTATGGCTCCAACGATGATGTGTACAGCTGCCCATAGAACCTCTCAATCGCAACCGAACCTCCACAGGAGATTCTTAGCACCCCCTGCCCCGCCGTTATCATGGTCACCACCGTAGCCAGGTATAGCGGGAGCGCCGGGGACTGGGGGCCGTCTCGTCATTACTTTCATGGGGGGTATATTACCATAGTTGCCACGCTTGGCGAGCGGGTTGGCAACCGCAGTTTTTTTATTGTTGTTTTGCTGTTATCAGAAAGATACTGCTGGCCATCTTCTGCCTCAGTTTCCCTCTGTCGCCTTTTACGATACCCACGGGAACATATGGGGTAGTGAGTATTCTTACCCGCCACTACACATTTTATTGTTTTTTATTTATGTACAAAGTACATATATAAAAAGATTGGAACAAGATTAAATAAAACATACCAGATTATAAAGAGTCATTTATTGCATAAAAAAACCAACAAAAACAAGTTATTTTTTGTTATCGATATATCAACTCTTGGCAACACTATTTTTTTCGTAGGTATTTTTGTTTACTTTTCGCTTTGGCGTACAGGACACGGTAATGCGTTTTTGGCGTGGTGCTTACAAGGTTAAAGGCCGTCTGACTAGATATCACACTGTTGAAGGCTTTGGTACTATAGGATTTGAATCATTTCTTATAAATCTATCACTTAGTCCTCAGGAGTAACAACTCTTCTGGGTATGTGGCCTTCTTTATCCATGGCACAGTCTAACTACTACTAACAGTCGGTCATCGAAGGCGTCTAGACGGGGCAATCGTGCGGTGCGATACACGAGTGGCGAGCTTCCGATCTCAGGTCCGCTAAGGTTGTCCTGTCACGCGAATAAATTAAAATTGTTCACACTACATGTGCGATAAGAACAAACAAATTCAAATGTCTTGACAACCCCAGCAATTTATTGTTTATGTCGGCTTTTCCGACAACATGTAACGCGATGACTGACTGTATATAATTCTTAGGCTGTGTCCATGCTGCAGGGCTGCAGGAGCCACTTACAATATAGTGGACCGTTAGCTTGTTTGTTACGTGAGTCGAGTTGGTAATAAGGCATTATTTATCAGCCCTTAAGAGTCCACTGCTGGGCATAGCGTCTCCGGTTATATGGAGGATTTGCCTTAATTTTTTGATTGACGATGGCAGTACCTATCATCTCGTACCTTTGACGCTGCTCCCCGTCGTTGTATATAACGTCTCGTGTAAACGAGATAGCAATTACACAAGGCTGTGTGCTATCACCAACGCTGTTTCTTCTGCATATCAATGATATGTTGCTAACTGGTAACATTCATTGCTATGCAGACGACAGCACTGGTGATGCTCTATACACCGGCCGTGCCAATATTTCTCGGGAAAACGTCGCCGAGTTTCGGAATAAACTTGTGTCTGAAGTCGAGTCTTTGCTGAACAAAGTCTCGGATTGGGGGCGACTAAATCTAGTCCAGTTTAATCCTCAGAAGACACAAGTTTGCACGTTTACCGCTAAAAAGAACCCCTTTGTCGTCCTCCTGAGTTTCAAGGCACTCCCCTTCTTGCCTCAGCCAGTATCGGAATCCTCGGAGTCGACATATCGAGTGACGTGCAGTTTTGTGGTCATTTGCAAGAGAAGGCCAAATTGGCCTCTAAAAAGCTTGGCGTGCTCAGCAGAGCGGGACAGTATTTCATGCCGGCACACCGCCTGCAACTTTACAAGGCGCAGGTTCGGCCTCACATGGAACACTGTTCGAATCGTCGACGACCGAGTCCTTTCCGATCGGCTCGATTCATTGGCACTGCGAAGAGATGTTGCATCCCTTTGCATTTTCTTTCGCATCTACCATGGATAGTGCTCCGAGGAATTGTTCGGATTAATCCCAGCTGCCAAATTTCACGAACGCACATCGCGGCAGAACTCCCGATACCATCCACATCATCTGGATGATTGGCGGTCCACCACTGTGCGATTTAGAAGATGTTTTCTTCCTCGCACGACTTCCTTGTGCAATCGATTACCATCAGCGATTTTTCCGGACCGATACGACTTAGGGACCTTCAAGAAAAGAGCGTACTCCTTTTTAAAAGGCCGGCAACGCATCTGCAATTTCCTCCCTGGTGTTGCAGTTGTTCATGGGCGGTAGTCACTTACCATCAGGTGAGCCGCATGCTTGTTTGCCCCCTCTCCTATAAAAAAAAAACCAGTATTTATCACAAGCCATAAGATTTTTCACGTATTTCTCAATCATACACTACGACGCCCACGGAACGAAATGCAATGACCGATTTGCCGCCAATACACTTCTACCCGCACTGCAAGGCTTGTTCTTAAACAAATACATATAATTTAATTTTAAATTTTTCAACCGACTTCAAACAGAGGAGGAGGTTCTCAATTCGACTACTACATTTTTTTTAATGTGTGTACCTCAGAACTTTTTTCTAAGTGAACCGATTTTGATGATTATTTTTAATTAATTTGTAAGCTGGTGCTTCTCTGGTGTGGTCCCATGTAAATTTCATCAAGATCTGAGCAGTAGTTTTTGAGTTATCCTTAATAATGCGCATTTAATTGAATCCGACTAGATTGATAATGTTCTCATTTTGAAGTCCATTGTAGAACATTTTTAATTTTACAACTTGTTCTTTATTGTAACCTGGGAACTGCTAGTCCACCCTGGGAGAATAAGAAAAGTGTTTTCAGGTGCAGACTTTGACGAAAAGGGAAAACTAATATATTTGGTATATATAACATAATACACAAATAAATAAATATACAAACATATTATAAATATAAGATGAAAGGCGAGTAATACGTGTTGTTTGCCTTTAGATAATGGTGTGTAAGTTTTAAAACATTGTACATTCGGAGCAAGTTCGATATCTTTGGGGAGGACGTTCCAGAGTATATAGGTGGGAATACTGTACTACAATATATTATTTTTACAGCGCCAAATTCCTCACCGACCCTTGCCAAGCGCATACTGGACACGTATTTAGAGGAGGATGTGTGGTACTTGCCGCTGGAGGTCTGCAGCTCGGAGACTCCGGTAACCAAGGAGGAGACGTTAGATGTCGAGGTATACAACCCGAGGGCCTGGATGAAAGATAGTGTGCCAGGTGAGGCAAATCTTTAGCGATTTAAAGTTCGCTTTACAAATTTTTATTTCATAAATAAAATTATGGTCGAGTTTTTTTGAAATAAACTTATTAAACGTTTCAATACTGATTCTGATAATGCAATTAACGGGAACCAGAGGGTTTTGTTACATGTTGTATACTGTTTGTTGGTAGAGATTTCTCTAGCGTATAGTATATCGTGTAGTATATACTACGTTTGCTTGTTTTAGGTCTGTATGAGGGCGCGACGGAGACGCGGTACACGGGTGTAAGCTACGCGGAGGGGCGGCGCGGCGCGGCGCCGGGCTGCAGCAGCGTGGCGGCGGCGCAGCGCAGCGCGGCGCTGTGCTGCCTGCTCACCGAGGGCGTGGGCGCGCTGGCTGCCACGCTGCGGGACCGCTTCCAGCCATACTTGTTGAAGACCTTGTGCCTTGTACTGGAGAGAGTCGGTAACGAACATTTTTCTTTTTTTATATACTGCCTCTTATTGTATACGGCACGACTACGGTTCTTACGATTTGAAGACGGACTCGCATAGATGTCGACGAGAAACGCCTAAAAATTAAGAATAATTTTTTTTGATATCTCCTTAGTTTCCGAGATATCGTGAATCATCAAATCGTGGCGCCATAAGTTAGCCTAATTGTGTTGAAGGTGATTACTAATCATGAAGTCCCGGGTTCGAATCCTCAGGTTGGGCCACAAAAAGATCAGTTATGAGTATTTCTGTCAAGAAATTCTAATAGCTGCCCAAAGTCAGTTAGTGGTGTCTCGCCCCCGTGCCTCGGAATGCACGCAAAGCCGTTGGTCCAGCGCCAGGATTTTTTTAAATTACTGTTTTAATCTTTAAGCTTATTGAGGATTTTATCGTAATAAGTTTCATTCAGAGTTATCATCTTGTGCTACAGGCAGCCGGTACGAACTGCTCCACCTGGCTGGTCTGAAAGCCATCAACGACATTGCCCTCGCGTGCGGACACAGCGGCGTCGTCGAACTGATCGCCACCAACGCGGACTACCTCACGAGTCAGATCACCAATAGACTGAAAAAGGTATAAAAATACTACAATCATTGAATATATTGTTGCGCGCCACTATTAATATCTTGTATATGGCAACACTAGTTCCCACTAACGCCCTCTAGTGTCGAGTAGCAGAACTAGGAGAGTCAAGATCCCTCTAGAAATTTTGGGACCGATATGTACTCGAACATTCTAGATGTCGCTACAGTAGAAGGTTCTGGAAACTATCTGAGGCCTTATATAAGGCCGGTATAGACCACGACCGAGGCAGTATTGAATTAAGAATAACAAGAGAATACTGTGAAGCGAAATACCGGCGAACTTAAGTGATCAGTAGTACAATTGTGTTTTATTATTAGTGTGGTTTTAGATTGTAATGAGTGTTGTGTAATTAAAGTGTCAATTTTGGTAATTCAATCGGCAGTTTTTAATTGTCTCGAACCCAAAGCTCATAACAATTGGTGTTAAAAGTGGGATCAAATCATGCCGATTTTACCAAAGGACGACATGGAGGGTATCCGTACCCGAAGTCAACGCCAACAGGAGACGGACCAGAGACGATTTGGTAATGCAACACCGCAAACGTCGGAGGGCCAGCTACTGACCACGGAGGCCGGCCCGTTAGCAGCCCCTGCATCTGCAGCACCTGACTTGGTGCTCTGATGATGATGCTGCAGGATCAGGCTCGCCGACAGCAGGAACAGGCCCGCCGGCAGGAGGAACAGGCTCGCCGATAGGAGGAACAGGCTCGCCGACAGGAGGAACAGGCCCGCCGACAGGAGGAACAGACCCGTCGGTTGGAAGAGCAGCTGCAGCGCGGTATAGAAGAGCTGATGCTCCTCAGGAAGGACCTTCACGCTACCTTCGGGAAAGCGATAAAGGAGGTGAAGGATAGGGTTGCTTAACATGACAACCGCCTCTCGGAAGCTGAAACCCGAATCGACCAAGTGTACAATCTGGTTGACAACGTGAAGAGTTGAGGTGAAGAAAACGCTGGACGACCTCAAAATTGGGGATGGAGTTACAGCTCCCGTGGTACAACACCTTCGCTACGTGGATTCAAAGTGCCGCCGTTCGACGGGACGTCTTCCTGGTCGGCCTACAAAATCCAATTCGAGGCTGTCATAAAGACGAACGGCTGGAATAAAAGTCAGGCCATGACTGCTCTCACCCTAGGCCTGCGCGACCAGGCCTTAACTGTTCTGGAAGCTCTCGGTAAGGAAGTGACTTACGAGCAGCTTCTTGAGGCATTGGAGGCGCGATATGGCGACGCTCACCTGGAACACGTCTTTCGTGCGCAGATCAAAAATCGCGTGCAACGCAGCAACGAAAACCTGCAGCAGTGGGCCCTTGAGGTTGAGAAACTGGTTCGAAAAGCATACCAGTCTGTACCTCCGCTCATTGTAGGGAACCTGGTGCAGACATTCATCGACGGCATCCGCGACCTTGAAGTCAGAGCTGCTGTGAGGCTCGGGCACCACGAGACGCTTAAGGGTGTCTTGACCCATGCACTGGAGCTGGAAGCTGTGCGGCAGGATCATCGTTCCCATCGCGTCAGGGAGATTGCAGCAGCTACAGTTCGGGACCGCAATAACAGCTACAGCCCTAGGTGCTACGGCTTTGGGGAAAGGGGCCATCTTCGATTCAGCTGCCCTAAGTGAACTATAGAAAGGGGAGGTGATCGATCTCGAGGGGGTAGTGCGGCTAACAGCACCGCCCAGCAGCAGCAGGGAAACTGGCGAATGCTGACTGATGTTAAAAGAGCCGCAAGGATTTCGATCTCACAAACCCGTGATGGGAACAGCCTAATCATCAAGGGCGAGGTCAACGGAACGCCGTGTTTTTTTATATAGAAGAGGGGGCAAACGAGCATGCGGCTCACCTGATGGTAAGTGACTACCGCCGCTCATGAACAACTGCAACACCAGGGGAATTGCAGATGCGTTGCCGGCCTTTTAGAAAGGTGTAAGCTCTTTTCTTGAAGGTTCCTAAGTCGTATCGGTTCGGAAAATTCGCTGGTGGTAATTGATTCCACAAGGAAGTTGTGCGAGGGAGAAAACTTCTTCTAAATCGCACAGTGGTGAACCGCCAATCATCCAGATGGTATGGATGGTAACGCGAGTTTTGTCGCGATGTGCGATGGTGAAATTGAGCGGCTGGAATTAGTCCGAACAATTCCTCAGAGCACTCCCCGTGATAGATGCGATAAAATACGCAAAGAGATGCCACATCTCTACGCAGTGCCAGTGTATCGAGCCGATCAGAAAGAACTCGGTCGTCGACGATTCGAACCGCTCTGCGCTGGATGCGGTCAAGTGGAAGGAGCTGGCACTGGGGTGCCCCGGCCCAGAGATGAGAACAGTATTCCATGTGGGGCCGAACTTGCGCTTTGTAAAGTTGCAAGCGATGTGGCGGCATGAAATACTGTCTCGCTCTGCTGAGCACGCCAACGTGTAATCTGACCATAGACACTGGAGAGCCTCTTGCACGGTTGTCAGTTCCCAACTTATAAGTCAGTTTCTTGGGGACTCCGCATACAACCGAGAACGCATTGATTTGGTGACAGCCACCGGTTAGCGCATACCCGTCCGTGGAGAGAAGGAGATGGAGTTGAAGCTAGGCAACATGATCTACCTGCAATCATGTTGCCTAGCTAATGTCATCGTGGCTGATATAATGGACGACTGCATCCTGGGCCTAGACTTTATGAGGAAGAATTGTTGATGTGGACAAGAGGAACTTTTCATGGAAGGGTCGTTACCAGGGAATGTGTATAGCCTTAAGAAGATTGTTCTTCCGCCGAGATCGGAAACGATTGTGCCGGTTAGACTTCCTCGGAATCCTGGGCAAACTCTTCGTTGTGTACTCGTGGAAAGGGTAGACAATGACCTTCCATGGAAAGTGGCTCTAACCTTGGTCAGAACCGCCGACATCTCAGGAGTACGTGTGCTGAACCTTTGTGATCAGGAACAGATTATAGAAAAAGGCACATTGGTTGGTACTAGGAAGGAAGTGGATTGGTTGCGTCGGTGTCAATATCTATCGACTGGGACTCCCAGCAAGGATGGACAAACGAGAATGACCACACTTTTAGAAGACTGTCGCAGCGTTCTCTCCCTGAATGAAATAGTCAAGGCGAAGAAGTTGTTACTCAAGTACGCCGATGTTTTCTTGTCAAACGAAGCTGACATAGGGAAGACTGGCTTAGTTAAACACAAAATAAACACAGGACAAGAATTGCCTATCCTTCAGCAGCCAAGAAGATTGCCTGTAGCACGTGAAAAGGAAGTGGAAACCATGATTGAGGGAATGGTGAAGGATGGTGTTATTGAACCATCATCTAGTCCATGGTGTTCACCCGTGGTGCTGGTAAAGAAGAAAGACTGCAGCATGCGGTTTTGTGTTGACTACCGCCGTCTGAACGACGTTACGAAGAAGGACAGCTATCCCTTGCCAAGAATTGATGACACGCTGGACATGCTTACAGGCGTAAAGTGGTTTAGTACGCTGGACCTGAAAAGTGGCTACTGGCAGGTTGAAATTGACCCTAAGGACAAGGAGAAAACTGCATTCTCCACGGGAAAGGATTCTGTGGCAATTTAAAGTCATGTCGTTTGGATTGTGCAATGCTCCAGCAACGTTTGAAAGGTTGATGGAGCTTGTACTTACCGGGCTAATTGGAGATGCCTGTCTGGTCTACTTGGATGACATCATCATCGTAGGCCGTACGTTTAAGGAACACCTTCAAAACCTGGAATGCGTGCTCATGAAGATCCAGAGTGCCAACCTCAAGATGAGTCCGAAGAAGTGCTCACTATTCAAACTGCGAGTTAGCTTTTTGGGATATGTAGTGTCGGAAGAAGGTATCCGCACGAATCCAGAGAAAATTGGCGCTGTCAAGGATTGGCCGGTTACAAAAGACAAGACACATGTTAGAGCATTTTTGGGTTTGTGCTCTTATTATCGGCGATTTGTGAAGAACTTTGCAGATATAGCCAAACCTCTGCACAAGCTAACCGAGGAGAAGCGACATTTCTGCTGGGATGAAAGTTGCGATATTGCATTCCAGGAGCTCAAGAACCGTCTGTGCAAAACACCTATTTTTGGGTACCCTAATGCGGGCAAGGAATTCATAGTTGACACAGACGCAAGTGATATAGGACTTGGCGGGGTGTTGTCTCAACGTAATGGTGATCAAGAGATTGTGATAGCGTACTTCAGCAAGTCGTTGTCAAAGCCGGAAAGGAACTATTGTGTCACAAGACGGGAATTGCTTGCTGTGGTAAAGTCCTTGCAGCATTTTAGCAAGTATCTTCTGGGGCGGAAATTCCACTTACGAACTGACCATGCTGCACTGAAATGGCTATTGCAGTTCAAAAATCCGGAAGGACAAGTTGCGAGATGGATTGAACTACTGCAGGAATACGACTTTGTGATCGAACATCGCAGCGGGAAATCTCATGGCAATGCAGATGCATTGTCAAGAAGACCTTGCCCTGAAGATTGCAAGCATTGTACTAGGCAAGAGAGTAAGGAAGTGGTATCTGTCAGGATACTCAGGACAGACCAGCTCAGCAATGAGTGGAAGGACAGCCTACAACATGCACAGCAGGAAGATTCGGACATTAATCCGATTCTGGAATGGATGAAGGCCAGTGCTCCTAAGCCCAAGTGGAGCGACGTCTCAGCAATGAGTTCGACCACGAAAAGCTATTGGGCCCAATGGGACAGCTTGCTGATTCAGGATAGAGTCCTGTGCCGTAAATGGTAAAATGGTCGGGGAGGCAGGTGTCATTTGCAAATGGTTGTCCCTAAGGCTAAAGTACCGGATGTTCTACAGCTGTACCATAGTGGTTGTTCAGGAGGCCACCTGGGAGTTAAACGAACTCTACTGAAGATCCGAGAACGGTTTTACTGGGTCCACTGTCGTGACGATGTCGAGGACTGGTGCCGAAAATGTACAAGTTGTGCGGCTGTAAAGGGACCTCAAACTCGTAGTAGAGGCGCATTGAAATTGTACAATGTTGGTG